CTGAAACAATTCAATGGTAATTTTCCTAAAAATAGTAATGAACAAATACAAAATGTACTGTTAACCCAATCCCTGGATCAAAGCATATATGCAATATAGCTGTCTAGTGGGTCACTGACAACTATCTTGTGTTATTTCAATAAGGAAAATTGCATTGCATTTGTTTTTAAGCAAAGGAGACTGACTGCAATGCACTGTTGATAAAAATTTTAATTTTGATACAGTGGGTGTATTCAGCCAAACAGAGCACTCACATCTGCTAAGTAGCTACAGGATTTTTTCTGCTGGATGCTACCATTCCTTATCATTTTAACAAAAGTGAGTGCTTTTGTATTTTTTATAAGAAGTGTCAAATGGGAGATGTTAAATTCAAGTCAAATTAATTGACATGGTACAATAAAATTATGCAGGTATATATAATACTGATGTAACAAAAAATATATATATAAACCAAACAACAATAAATACAGACTCAAATACATTCCTCTATTTATGCATTTATTCTGTTCCTGCTTCTATTTTTGAAATGTTTCTTTCAATTAGTTGATGAAGGAAGTCCTGTATTTTTTGCAAAAAGAAACATTTCTTTCTAAGTAAGTTTTTTCTCATACTAACAGCTTAACACATGACCCGAAATTTTAGGATTTGTGAAAAATAAATAATTTTCCTGTAACGTACTCTTCAAAAAAAGCATGTTGATATATACTTTTTTTTACTGTTTAACTGTTCAGGAAATAAAGAGTATGACATAAAGCCAGCCATTTGGCTATTATACTTATAGATAGGAAGTACAGAAATTATGTTAAGAATAATATTATTTACTTATTCTTAAATACAAAACCCTTTAATTTCTGCTATAATGACTACTAGAAGTCCATTACACCTACTATGTTGCAGCTTGCATGAAATATGATGGCAGCGAGACATGGGTCGGACACAGAAATAACTATTTCAACACCCTATATATAATGTGATGATGCTCATTTTTAATTTCAACTAGGGATTAGCTCTTTCAACTATACTATAGCAAATAAATTCAATATAACTGGATTAATATTAGTGCCACAATATTTTATGCAATACTTTATATATACGTACATACATATATATATAGTACTCATTTTAGTTTTAATTAGAACATTAGCTTGCTCTATGTTCAGCATTTGGTAAGTACTTTTATACTGACCAAAAATAGTACATTACCACAGTGAATAAACTTGAAAATACACCTTATATTATTACCTATTCTTAATAACTAATGCACAGTTGAAGATACAAAGTCAATAATATAAGGTTAACAGTAGATCACTAATCCTTTACAAATTACAAAAATTCAGGGGGGGGGGTAAAAATCATATAATGTATATGCTTTCTTAAATGATAGATTTCCTGATGATATGAAGATCACTCTGTCTTATAATTATATTTTGAAAATGTCTACCTCCCACACAAATAACAAGACACTGGAAAAATGCCATCTCTTACACAGATTCTTAAAACTATTCTAAAGGAGTATAAAATACTAATTATCAATTGCTTGTTTAATGTAATTCAAATGGTAACACACACGTATATACATACATATAACTTTTAAACTACACACTGTAACGTAACTGTAACTTATGGTGTGTAACATTGAACTTGAAGAAGATAAACTTCATAAAGTGTAACTAATAAACTCTTTTAACTTTTAGTTTTAATGCAAAAAAATAACTACGCCAATAACAAAATTAGAAGAAGTTACAATTTAATTTAATCTTAACTTAATCTCAGCCTACAGTTTATTTTGGCCGTGACTCCAGTCATGTAATACATTATTATTTAATAATAATACGCCACAGAATCACTAAATTCACAACACGTAGAGTATAATCTCAAACATTAGTTTAGTCTTAACTTCTTAAGCCTACATCATACAGGCTGTGGAAAACGCCATGTTAAATTTTATGATCGCAGAAACAATGTAGCCTAGATGGCATAACCTAAAAATAAGTAAACGTAAGTCTTCATGCGATCACATATAAAGTTCACATATATAATGAGAATTCAAAGAACAGTGAGCCCTATACATTATACTTGGTAATTATTACGTCATTCTAACAACGAAAATTAAGAGTTCATACTTTGAGCCTGACCATGTTCATCTCCACTTTCTCGGTCCGACATAGTGCCACTCCTATAGAACCCGCTCACACAAATCTGCTCTGGACTCTTTGAATATTTATTTCTCTCTAACCAATCAAAGAGCTCATTTGTTTTAGTCTGTATATATTAACGTGAAATTTTTTTTTTCATTATCTATTATATGAAGAAACGTCTATTTTCTGTAAATTGTGGCGTGATATAAAATTAGATATAAGCATATTACGATTTCAGAAACTGAAGCTCACTAACCAAAATCATAAATTATTTTAGAATTCCAAATCTGCGTACAAATTGTATTATATGACTGTATTTAATTCAGACATGTACTGTAGATAGTTACATGGTGATTTGGCAAATATTTCTAATCACAAGGATAGAAACACAAAACGCATCACATCTTTGAATCACTAATAAAATAACGTATATGGTTTTTAACTTTCCAAAAACTAGTCAATAATCCCGCGTATAAAACAACTTCTTAAGAATTGAGAAGCAATATTAAAAGATTGTTCTCACTTATATTTGTGTACTTTTTAAAATTGCTTCAAGCTTTTTAAATTAATTTTTACTGCTGCCATCTGGTGGGGCATTAAAGGACTTTATTGTGTACTGTTATAATACTTTTGTATAATTAAAAAAATGCCAGCAAGTTTCACTATATTTATCATAATATACTACTGTACCCCGATTTTGGCTTTTGTTACCTGAAAATGATTTATATACCCTTTTTTCTTTACTTTGAAGAATAGCAGGAGAAATATGTGGTTTATTAATCAAGGGATTTAGTATTGATGTAAAGAATTTTATAACTTAAAATTGTGGTATATTTTAATGACAATTTCTTTTGTTGGTATCTTCTGGTAGTTGAATATACACAAATTCAATGAAACTTATACTTAATATACCTGCATACATAAAGCGTAGCACAAAAGATTTAGTTCAGAAATAAGACTTGTAAAAATTATTTTTTATTATTAATGCTTCCTAATGTAAATTACAGTAACTATTTTTCGTTTCTTTTATTTCAATGTCGTTTTTCATTATCTTATCTGCAAATCAGGATATTTAATTACTTAAGAGTATTTTTTATCGTTCCAGCAATAGAGCCTACAAAACTGAATATCGTTTGTTTTAATTTTAATTCCGACTATAAGTACACAAATTTCAGCATGAAAAACAATGCATTTTTTCCAAAGCAAATATTCAAATGTACAAAATAATATAGATGGATTCCATCATTTCACAGATATTTTTAGTGAAGCTTTTGCTTTAGTAGGATTGGTTTTGGATCTTTCTAAGACATGCCATATGTTAAAAGTAAACAGCAGACCAAATGTTTTTTACCAATGATAAATGTGAACATACACTTGATAAAATGAAAATTGAACATAATAAAAGAAATGCTATAGAAAGCTCTTTTCCCACAAAATAAATCAAAACATCAAATCCAAATTAATGAAGCTTTTCAAATCCATTTGTCTATTCAATAATAGTCTAAAATTAGTTAATATTACAAATAACATTATTAGTCAACCTTACTAAAGGGAAAGCTTGATGTGTTAGAAAAGCTTCTTTGAATTCCAAACATGTTTATGTTCAGAAATTACAACAAATTCTCAGGTTCTAAATAATCAGGAATGCAAGTGTTGAAAAAGAACTGCAAGAGAAATAGCAGATCTGTTTATATTCTTGGTTGGATCATTGCAGATCCCTGGTTCTGGAATGCAAGCAATTTGAGTAATTCTTCATTTATCATAATTTCTCATCTTACTATCTGAACCCACCTTTTTAATGAAATAAGCAAACTTAAATACAGAACTTTCTCATCTTAGATGGACAGGAAGAGAGATAAGTCCTGACAAAAT